TTTAAGGACATGTAATCTCTAAATTATTAAAGAAGACATATTATCTCTATTCACATTTGAGAACATACTTTCTCTTTTTTGTTTCAATAAAATACCTCCTAACAACAAAATGTATTTTATTATCATTTTATACTTAAATGCTTTCCCAGTATCAAACCCCTAATTCTTCCATGTTACTAATATTGAACAGTGTATTCCTAATTTGTAATGCAAAACAACTTGGGGTATTTTTGTCAATATTGTCATATTCTCTTCGGAGTCTTTTTTTGTTTGGCGAGAATGAAGCAATTCAATGCTCCATCCAATTCTATGGAAGACTTTAAACTTTTTTTTAAATTTAATAGAAATAAATTAGATATTTATATATATAATATATACAAATAATGGAAAAATTTTAAAAATAAAAAAATACTTTAATGTAGCTATTTCTTTGTTGGCCAAAGCAAACCCGAAGCTGACCAAAGCAACCCGAAGCGCCCCGAATTTGACTGAAGCGGTAGCACCAGGCTTCGCTTTTCTTCGGTTTATGCCTAAAATCTGAAGGCTTCGGCCGAAGTGAAGCGAATTTGATACCATTGATTTTTTTTTCATTCAAGTGCGGTCTCTTTGGAGTATCTGAAATTTTTGTCATTCAAGTGCGGCCTCTTTGGATGATCAAATTATTAAAATACTCCACATTGTTCCTCATTCAAGATACTAGACAAGGGTAATTTAAGTATTTAAAAAAAAAATGGTGAAGTATCTAAGTAAAAGAAAAAAAAAAAAGGTATGCATTCAAATATTAATAAGGATAATTTGACTCCTTTAATGATTTTTTTAAGGCCTAATACTAATATTTTCCTGTTTTTAAACATTTTAATGAAAAATCAATTTAATTTTCAAGTCCCATTTAATCCCCAGCTTTTATTTACTCTCAGGCAGTAATATACTTTTGGAAAATTGTTTCATGTGAGCTGGACCTCATTTCTACATATGTGGTCTAGAAAGCGTAAAGCAGTGCTCTATCTAAAAACAATGGAAACTAACGGTCCAAATGTTTTCTTACTAGAATTATTATTTTTAGTTTTTTAAAATTTATTTATTTGTTCATATTCATGATCTCCATGTTAGAGATTACATGTCCTTAAAAATCAAGTATTAAAATCCATCTCAAAAATAGATTTATTGAGAGGTCCACATTTCTACATATGCTAGCTTGGCCACATAAAAACCGCGTCCTATACTTTTTAATACAGGAAAAAGTTTATACAATGTTGCAATTTTTAAATGTAGAATTACATATGCACCTAAAAAATCTACCAAGGAAAGGTTGTTTTAATGTTAAAAAACCCTCTAATCGATCATCTCCACATCGAGATATATGAATATGAAGAAAAAAAAAAAAGATTTTGAGTCCCAAAAATAGTGCATCTGCAACACATTATCTAGACAGTTCATTTTCAAAATTTAGATATGTTTATAGATCTACTTGATTTAATCATTTTTAGAGTTTCAAATTTTATAAGTAGAGATGAAAATAAATTTTAAGATAATCTTAAAAAAAAAATTACATCAAATTTACGTGTCACGATAAAATTTAGAGGTGCACCATAATTGGCATGTCATTATAAAATTTGGAGGTGCAGCTTAATTGGATTGTTTAAGGTTGCAACCTCATAAAAACCACACTCATAGTTCTATACCATACTAAAACCCTTGGCCTATGCTAAGTTCAACCGCGCTTAAACTGTTTTCGCCTCCTTAAGCTCTCCCACCTGTACTCACAACAAAAATTCCTCGGAAAACCAGAGAGCTTAGAAAACAAACTTCGTATTTGAAGGTCGCCCGATAAAACTGTCACCCTAAAAACATTTCTTCACCCCTCTGTTCGCAGCCCAGCCGCGCCAGAGCTTCTCGCCTGCAACTCAACCAGCCTCTCTTCTTCCTTCCTTGCCATTTTCACCAGGTACTTCACTCCTTTCTCTCTATCTTTCTCTATTTCTAGAAAATGGTATTCTTCCCATCTCTCTCTCTCTGTATTGAGAAGAAATATTGCTCAGTGTCTCTCTTTAGGATTTCACCAACTTCCATCTATTTGTTTAAAGGGACAGCCATTCAGGTTTATCTGTCTAGGCCATTTCTAGAAAGTGGTTTATCTCACTGGTTTAAAGGGACAAGCATTCCGGTTTACCTCTCTAGATCATTTCTAGAAATGTTTTATCCCACTGTACATGCATTCGGGTTTATCTGCTCCTAAAGTTTTTGTTTTTTAGGAGGTTTGTTACCGTAGCCGAAATCATTCCACTCAGTTTTGTTATGCAGTGAATAGTTTCTTCCAGCATGACTTCTTTTTCACCTATTGATAGGTGCAAGGGATAGTAATCTTATATGTTCAATTCTTGAGCGGCATCATTATTATCTACATATGGTATTGAAAAATGGCAGTTCACAGGACCACCATATTCTTGAACTTCAATATCTCCTCTTTTATGTTTGATACAACTATTAGTTATTCACAAAAAGTCAGAAACTATACTTGCTTACTCTACCTCGTTTATCGCCTGTCTATACCAACAAGGGAAATATATCTATTGCAAGATAAAAGCTTGTGCAAATTATTTTTTTTTCACTAAGACAAAATTCAGCTAGTTGGGGATATGTTCTTTGACATGGTAGAAAATTTACGAGATTATGCAAATTTTTATGGCTAATCCCTTCCCCTGCAAATTTAGGGTTTGTCCACAATGGATTCTGCTTATCAAGTATGGTATCTATGTATCTCAGTTTCGATTAAGTGTTATGCGTGATGCTTCTTGACCGCATGTATTGGACCAAATTTAGATCTTTTCATGCCACGCTTTGATGATTTAGAATTTTCGGTGGATTTTCTGGACTTACCATGTTGATTTGGGTTTTATAAGATGGGGTATTGTGTTTCACCTATGTGAGGAATTCAGGTCTATTTGGTATATTTGCAAAGGGTATGTGGTTCTCTGATTGATGCATTTGCTGGATCTTTTTTCTTTCGATTTTGATTAACTGGTTTTCTTTTACAATATGATTTTCATCGAGATTTACTTGATTATGTTTTTTATTAGCAGTATAGATTTGGAGTTCTGATGGTGATAGTTGTTCTGTATGGAGATTGTATGCATATTGCTAGGTCATAGTACTATCCTCTCTATTACTTTGTTTAAATAACCTATCTTATTGTTCTAGTGTTTGTAATCTGTTTTTAAGTAAATTCAGTTGCTTCTTACCAATGTTTCCACTATCAAATCCCATTAAAAAATTAATAATTTTTAGATCTCAACCTTACGATTTCACATCTTACTTCTACAACTAATCAAACACAGATCCAGAACTTCCTAATCTTCCAGCACGTTATCAAACACAGATACTTAGAACTTCTTTAACATTTCAGCAGGTTATCAAATACATAAACCCTAAACTTCTTACAGTAACTTCTTTCTTCCCAACAAAGAAGAACTTCTAATTTCCAGAAAACATTTACCTTCCAGTTATCAAATAGGCCATGTAACAACAGGGAACTTGAGAAGGAACCTCGATGAAGGGTAAAAGTAAGTTACCCACCCCCGACTGCCCTAGCGAAGAAGAGGGTATTTGCTTTCCCCCGACTGCCCTAGCGAAGAAGAGGGTATTTGCTTGCCCCCCACTGCCCTAACCACAGAGCAGAGACAAGCCTATGAGCCTCCTCGCAAAGGTACATCTCAATTTTTTCTCTCTCTGGTCTTTTTCTCTCTCTCTAGTTTTTTCTCTATCCCATAGTTTGTTTGGTCTCTCTGATTTTTTCTCTAGGTTCTGAACATGGTGAAAATGAATCTAGGGTTTTCTCTAAATATTGTTTTGTGGTAAATTGTTCTCTGTAGTGAAAAAATAATTTGGCTGTTTATTTTGGTAAACAGTTTGTGTAGAAACCTTGCCCCTCATCCCTCCCTTCAAGCCGTCCTCTCTCCACTCCAGCTAAATTTCACAGTTCTCTCATTTTCTAATTCTTCTTTTCATATAGTTTCTTCTACTACACAGGTGACAAACATAATAACCATTTGGTGTCCCCTTATTCTTTTTTTCTTTTTTATGATTGCTATCATCTGAAAATGAGATAATCAATGAGATTGCTTAAATTTGATTCATGGTTAGCTTTTTTTTTTTTTCTTCATTGATAGTTCTTTTGTTGGGCGTGAAGAAAAGAAAGAAAAAAAATTGCAATATTGCTTTCCTTTTTGCTATACGTTTAGATTAAGCTTACTTTTTATTTTTCAATATCAAGCATAGGGAATGTAGTTATAGAATCAGCGAACAAAAAAGAAAACAACTTGTTATAGATTGACTGGAATTTTTTGCAAATAACAACATTTCTCAAGGAAATCAGCAGGAAATTTGTTGAGTTTGTTGTGGAATTTTAGTTCAGGAAATGGTTAAAGAATCCAATATTCAATTTAATTAATCCTGACTATTTGATGTATAGAATAGTTTTTCTAGGAAAAACATAAAAAATCATTGCCATGAAGTTTGAATGAGCGAAAATTGACTATCTTTGATGATTGAGGTGAATTTTAGTTATGATTATGATTGGGATAATTGTCAAATATTTAAAGGTTTATCGCTTCTAAAGTTTGTATAACTCTTTCATATGACTGAACTATCCAAAAAAGAATGTCAATGTTGCTCACCATTATAATGTCAATGCTGCTGACGATTATACAGTTTATAGTATGTTATCAGTTGAAAACTGGCCCTTCATATCCTCACAATGAATATATCGATATTAACATAGCTTTAGATGTTTGATGCTCTTTTTTGGTCTTTTCTAATGATGTTTGATAAACACATAATAATAATAAAATGGTTATTCTGTCTGAGTGTGTAGACTATAGAGTAAGGCCTGATATGTAACTGATTAAAGAGTATTTTGTTTGTGTAGATTACATCGTTATTTTGTCTATATGTGTAGACTACAGTGTAAGGCCTGTTATGTAACTTAAAACTTCCTTATATTCCTCCATATTATCGAAGGCAGAGACCCATAACTTCTTTAACGTTACCGAAAACTTCTTTAACATTCCAGCAGGTTATAATGTAACTCTTTCCTTCTTAGCAAAAGAAGAGCTTCCAATTTACAAGGAACATTTACTTTCCAGTTATCAAACCGCCCTGAAAAGGAAGCCGCGGAACCGCAGACATGGGCGCCACACTACCACTGTCATTGCTCTCTACCTCCTCCTTCTTCTTTCTCTAGAACTATGCTTCTCCAAAAGCCCCCCATTCGCTCCTTAATCCTCTCTCTCTCTAAAACACCCATTTCTCTCTCTTCAATCTCCTCCTTTTTCTCTGAAACCTCTGCCTCTTTCTCTCAGGCCTTCATCTCTCCCTCTCCAACCTTCACCATTCTCTCCAAAACCTTCCTCTCTCTCTCTAAAAACCCCTGCTCTCAAACTAAAACCCCATTCTCTCTCCCGCATCTTCACCTGCAACGATGCTTCTTCGTAGATGTCAAGATGAAATGGGTCAAGGATCGAGGCCTCGACCATGCAGTAGAGAAAGAGAAGAGTCTCAAGCCTGTAATCGCCCTGAAAAACCTCCTCAAGATCGAACCGGGTGGTTCCATGCCTGTATCTTCAGTTGCAGAGCTCAAAGACAAGCTTGGCCTACCGACTCGAGCTTTCAATTTCATTGCTTACTATCCAAATGTCTTTGAGACCCACTTTTTCTCTCATACTCCTCGCCCCTATGTGAAGCTCACGCCTGAAGTTCTTCGAATCGATTCTGAGGAGAATCAAGCTTCTGAATCTCTTCGCCATGATATTGCAGATCGTCTCCTCAAGCTCCTCATGTTGACAAGGCATAAAAGGTTGCCATTAACCCTAATTGATCAGCTCAAATGGGATTTAGGGTTACCAAACGATTATGTGAGAAGCATCCTCCCTGATTTCCCTGATTACTTTCAAATCATTCCAAACCCTGAGCCTAATCCCAGCCCTAATTCTGCCTTCAAGCCCCTTTGGTCAGACCCATTTGAGAAGCCTAATCCTAAACTTAATTCTACTAGCCCTAACCCTAATTCAAGTCTGAATTCTCTCTGGTTGGACCTCGTATGCTGGAGTGATGAGCTCGCTGTATCAGTAATGGAGAAGAAGGCTATGAAAGAAGGGAAAGAATACAAAAAAGGCATGGCTCTTGCTTTTCCTTTGAGTTTTTCAAGGGGGTATGATATCAAGAAAGAGGTGGTCAAGTGGGTTGAGAATTTGCAGAAGCTTCCATATATTTCTCCATATGAGGATGCTTCTTATTTAGATTCGAGGAGTGATCAGTATGAAAAATGGATGCTTGGTGTTCTCCACGAACTATTCCATCTCTTTGTTGCTAAGAAAGCAGAGAAACAAAATGTGCAGAGTCTTGGTGAACATTTGGGTTTCAGGCCAAGGTTTACCAGAGCTTTTGCTCACCATCCTGGTATATTTTATGCATCAAACAAGATCAAGACTTGCACTGTGATATTAAGAGAGGCTTATAAAAGAGATTTGCTGGTGGAGAAGCATCCATTGATGGGGTTTAGGTACCAGTACATTCATTTGATGCATAAAAAGAGAGAAGTCACTAAAGAGAGCCTTGAAACTTCAAAACTGGTTCAGGACTCGGAAGAAAAGGTGAATTGTGAAGATGGGTCTGGTAAGATTACTGAAGAGGAAGAAGGGTCTGATGATATTACAGAAGAGGAAGATGGGTCTGATGATTTTACTGAAGAAGAAGAAGAAGAATGCTCTGATTCTGACTCCATGGAAGATGAGGAAAAGAACCGAATTAGCTTCAATGGTGGTTTAGCTCATAATGAAACAAGAACTTCGGAAAAAGGGAAAGCTAAGACAACAAAACGTGCTTCGTTTGGCAAGAGGCTTGAAGTTGGTAGACCTCCTCCAACTGATAAAGGAGCATCCAATAAAAGATCAAGAAGAACAGGGGCTCCTAAGGGATCTGCTCAAAGGTCAAACAACGCAAGGAGGCATGTAAGATCAAGTGATGGGAAGGTTACTACCTTTTAGTAGCTTTACAAATAATGTAGTTGTTACAATTCATTATTTGTATTCTTATTGATATTTTGATGTCGTGTTAGTTGCCCAAGATAGACTTCCACCTTTACTTTTCATTTCCATATCTCACTCATTGGTAAGAATGATACTGTGATTTTTCTTGAACGGCATTTTTCAAGCATCCTTTTCAATTATCAACTGAAAGTCCAGTGAATAACACAGTCTGTTCAAGATATTTTCATATTATGGATTTGGGACAAGGGGCGATTTTGTGGAATCTAGTTGTCTCTTTATCTACTTGATTACAAAGCTCCAACCAAATTAAGTTCAGTTCCAATGCAAACTTCAAGTTAACATATTGAAAACCTCAAGTTTAAAGAATATAATAGTTTTAGTTATTTTTTACCGAAAGCCACCCTTATCAGGTGCTCTCGGTTTCTCCCACTTCTGTAATTATTACTGTCTTAGTAATACAATGTCAACAATGTCAACATTTCTCAAAAAAAAAGAATATAGTAGTTTTAGGAATATCATCTCCTTTTCTCTCTGAATGACCGGTGATGGAAGGGTCGCCATTTTCAGCGAGAGAGAGTGGGAGAGGAGGGAGGTGAAGTTTTTCCTTATGGCCCTCATGTTCCTATGGGTTTATATTCAAAACCATTGCATATTATGTACATAGAAAACACCATGTAGTCTTTGGAACAGGAACCCTAATAAGATGTCCTGGTAATAATTGTGAACTTGCATTGACCTTGGTGCTTACGAGGTCCATAAACTAGTTTGCCTTCAGATTGAAATTAATACGGCTAAAGTCGAAAATTAGAGATAAACAAGTTTCTCAAGAAATGGTTGAGATCTGATGGAGCGAATTGCAGTTATCGTATAATCATGTTGAAAAGTTGAAGGGCCGAGTTTCACCTCTTCGATAAAAATTTTCTTCTTGAAATTTTAGTTAAAAAATGGAGCTTTTGTAAACCTGAAACTCATTGTTCATTTACTATGGCAAAAAAACTGCCAAATGGCATTTTGGCCTTTCTAACTATTCCAGGCAGGAAATTTTGAATTTAAAAGATTCAAAAAGTGTGATAATTCACTAATAAACAAGAAAACAGATTCAATTAATCATCCGTGTTAACCGCGCATGAAGAATAATCTTAGTTATTCATGGTTTGAAGCCCGAGCTCATTAAAACTTTATTTAAGTTGATTTCTTTTTACTACATTACAAAATGAATTTTGAAAATGAGTTGCATAAAAACTAAGTCATGCAATCTAGCTTGCATGTATGCTATAAAAACTGATGAACTTTATCTGAAAGACACGAGCTTACCCTTCAGTTTCTTCATCGACTTCACCTTAAGTTTCTTCCTCGACTTCACCTAAGATATGACAGTTGCCACTAGCTTTGCTTTTGGTTGGAAAGTCATTGGAGTTACCCTTGAAATCTCTCCTTCTATCCAGGCAGTCTAGATTTTCACCACTAGAACAAGTCTACTAAAAACTATCACCTACTTCAGGAATAGGGGGTTCACCACTGCTCAACGCAAGTGTTCTATCAATGGCAGAAGCATCCACTGTAAAGATCACTATATGACCTAAATTGTAAAGAAAGAACAAAGATAAAGGCTGAACCAAATACACAGATTTGTGGATATTTTCTCGTTCTACGTCGTGAAAGTGTATGACTTGCTCTCGTAGGAGGATATTGTATATTTTACTCCCTGGAATAGAAGATTTAACTTGGGAAGATTTTTTAGATCCCAAAATTTTGGGAACAACATAAAAATCACTATATCCAAAAGAAAAAACAATGACTCGTGAGTTTTGTAACACTTAGATCTCGCCTTTCAAAAAGTGTGCGGTTTCTATTCGATCTTAATGCATTAATTTTTTCAAGCTCATAGAGAATGCAATTTGAAACTTTTCTTTTTAAAAATTGAGTATGGCCTATGGGAAAGGTTGCATTCCCAAACTTTGGGTCCTAAAAAGACCCCTAGATTGGGTTTTGCCTAAGGGACTAATTGGACAATACGCTCCCTCAGGAGCATGAAATCTTTCGAAATTCTCTTCTCTTATATAAATTCCTCTTTTTTTCCCCTTAAATTAAAGAATGGTGAATAAATTTCGAGTTCTTGCTTTAATGGCTAAATCCTTTACTTTTCCTTTTATTGTTCTTTGAACATAACAGCTGTATTCTTTCCCTTGTTTAAAGAAATTGAACTTAGCCTCTCATCCAAAACTAATATAGAGAAATCAACATTTAACTTGAACAGATCAATAAATTCCGAACATTTAACGTCCCAAATGCCCCTTTGAGCCTATTAAGGAGTCTGCCTCATTCCAAAGAACCAAAGTTAATCGCAAAAAATTTAAAATTTAGGAAATTTATGGTAATATACCCAAGAACTATTAATGACTCTGCCCCAAACTGAGGTTTCTATCACCTGTTTGGACCTAATAATTTTCATATCAATGTTCGGAAATAAGACGAACTAGTGTTTTCGTGGGAACGGGGCTGCATCGTGGTGGTAGTACCCCACACCTTAATAACTACACGTTGTGGTTTTCATTCCCACCACCAACACTCCCTCAATCTATTTGAAAAAATGGATAGGGGCCTGTCTTCCTCACCGAATTATAAACAAAACATGAAAACTTATGTGACCCACCAATTCAAAAATGGTAGCTTGGAACCAATCTTTTGTACACCAAAATATCGGTTTGGAACTAGCAATTCTGGACCGGCAATTAAGACATCAATTTGAAATTGGCACTTCTGAACCTACAATAAAGACAGAGCCATTTTGGAACAAAAGGAAGAAAAAAAAAGAACAATAAGGTGTATATAAAGTACGAGAGACATTCTTCAATGGGAAAGCATATAAAGAGAATTTATTTTTTATATAAGGAAGTCACAATCATTTTTGTCCGTCAGATTTCAAATTGGGCAATTGTAAGTATGTCATTTGACTAGAAAGTCCAAAAAAAAAATTTCTCAAATCCCACCCCAATTCTAATGGGCAATAGCAGTTATATATATATATAGGTAAAAGTTTATATAGAGTCGGGGCTCTAAAAAATCAAATTAGAGCCTACCTCAAAATTTTCATTAGAAATGGTTGTTTTAATGGCCAAATATCTTCAAATTAATCATCTCAACATCAAGATCCATGGACATAAAAAAAAAAATGGATTTCAAGTTTTGGAAATAGCATATTTTGTAACGTATTTTTGGACCGTCAATTTTCAAGACTTTCAAGTTTTTAGAGATCTGTCGATCTACACTATTTTTGAAGCTTTAAACTTTATAAATAAATATGAAAACATATTTTAAGTCTATCACAAAGATTTTTAGTATTGAAACCACATTGCTCGACACTATTTGAAGGTAGGCTCTAATTTGATTGTTGAGAGCCTATGCTCTATCCAAACCGCACCCATATATATATATGAGCAGTGTTTTCATGCAAAGGTTGTATCATAATATAATGCAACAACACTTCCAGAAAACCACATTTGTGGTATTTGTATTACCCAAAATTTTGCACACACACGTTTTTTATCTCAATAATCAATCCCAAAAAAAAAAAAGTTCAATTTGAACCCTAGATATGGTCAAAATAAGTCCCATCCAAAAATGAATCTAGACCATTCATTTGGTGAATTTCAAGATCTTCGCCTTTATAAACTTAAAATCATTTTTTTCTTTTTTAACATTACCCATTTTATGATAATAAAACCATCCTTCTAAGACCTAGATCTAAGTATCTCACCAAATTAACGGCCTATATTAATTGGGCTAAAAAAATACTTTCTAAGTTGTGTTTTCAATTTTTTCTTTTTTGTGATTGTTCATTAGAATGAAAAGAGTGGATATTTCAAATTTTATATCAAACAAATGGCCATACCATGGTTTTTGAAGGTTGTTGCATCATATTACTATATAACCCTTGCATGAAATCATTGCCATATATAT